GGTGTGGATGGCTGCGAAGAGGCGAGGGCTCAGGGGAGGGTTTTCAAACGGTTGTTAAAATGCACATACTTATATGCATACGTGTGTATTGACTGGGAGGTATCTGTTCACTGGGAAATACTCGTTGAACTGATGTTTATGGTTAAAGGGATAGGCACTGATGTACACGCGTGGATACATATCCATATATGCATGTAGCACACATATGTATATGTCTATGTATTTATCTATATAAATATGGTATGGATATATACGGTATTGGGAATGCAGAGATAGATAGATAGAGATAGAGATAGATAGATAGAGACAAACAAACAGACAAAGGAAGGAAGACAGACGCACCTGTGGCAAGCAGCGCCCCCTCATGTGCCGTGACGCCAGTGATGAGGTCGACCTCCCTGTGCCTGGCCTCGAGCATGAGGACCTCGGGGGAGGCAGTCAGGAAGTCCCCATCCACTCGGGGCCCCACCAGGAGGGGGCTGCCCATCCACACCTGTCGGAGCAGTGGAAAGAGGCTTTTGGAAAAGTTATTACTGAGGACTGTAAACTAAGGAACATAAACACACACACACACACACACAAACACAAACACACGTCTACAGCCCCGTGTGCGAAAGCTTTGTCACGGTCTGGGAATACGTCGACCTCCACGACAGCCTCGACCCACAGCAGTACGGAAATGTTAAAGCCACTTCCATGACTCACTACTTAGTTCATTTCCTCCATTTCATCAACAAAACTCTTGAAAAACGCAAAGCATCTGCGGCAGGAGTGTCCGTTGACCTGAGCAAGGCGTACGACCTGGTAGACCACAACATTGTCGTTAACAAGGCCGCAGCGATGGGGCTCTGAGGGTAGTGTCGTAACTCGCGGATTCCCTCTCTGGGCGCCACGTCCTCCTTCCTTCAACTTTTTTTCGGCGTGCCCCAAGAGACCAATGTCGGCCTCTCTGTTTCTTGATCTTTATCTATCAACGTCGCCCTGCATGATACCCCGCACAGGTGGAAGGACGTCGAAGATTCCACATTCGCAGCAGCCGTCGACAACACCCGGGCTGACCACCAGCCACTCCGTACCACCCTCAGATACCTCCTCGTCTGGACCATCGCCAACCACGTCACTGTTAACAAGCAGAAGATAGTTGCCATAAACTTTGACCTCGACACCACCCCCACCCCGTCCCCTCACTCACTCTGGGCGACCAAGTGCGAGCCACGGTGACCACCACCAGGCTGATCGGGGTCATCATCGACAGCGAGCTTTCATGGAAGCACCACGTCAAATCAGCCTCATACAGACTCTACATGCTCCGCCGCTTGAAGTCATTTTCAAAATCGATATTGTCCACCGTCTCCAAAATGTCCATACTCCCCAGACTCACGTACAAATCACCCGTATGATCATCCAGCCACAAGAACACAGCTAAATAAGCTAAAAAAAAAAAAAAAAAAGTCGAAAAGAAAGGTCAAAATCATCTTTGGACCCGAATTAAGCTGCATCTGTGACACCGCCCTCGGCACTCTTGGCCTCGCAACCCTGATGGACCTCTTCACCTGCAGCTTCCTCAAGTGATGGCGAGTAGGTGTTGGACTGCCCCACCATCGCTACCCCCGCCCCGCCCCGCCCCGCCCGCCCCCGCCATGCCACCTGCGCCCGTAATTAGCTGCGCTCCAACCTGTCCCGCACTGGCCGTCACAAGAGTAGCCCTATTTCGACAAGGCTTGTAAAACTATTTGTTTATCACGCATACGTTACTCAGCTACATTATTTTTTCGCATCACGTGATTGCTCACTTCTTGCCAGCACCTACTAGTCTTCTTCTCTCTGTACATCTTCAGCCTCATGACTGCCGGTATGAATAAACCATAAAAAAACGCACACATTCACACGCACGCAGCTACACAAACACACATGATGGATCCCAGAAGACCTACAAAATACTCGGCGATGGTGTGCACCAGCTTGCCCGCAGGAACGGCCTGGAGGCACTGCAGAAGGTGGTGGGCGCCCAGGTCCGAGGAGCAGCCGACCAGCCGCGCCGTGTAGTCCGCCACTTGCTTGTGTGCGCCTCCGAGAGCCCAAGGACACAGCGCCGTCCCCGACTGTAGGATCACGCGGGAGAAGAGTCCTGCGAAGGAGCGAGAGGCGCGGGAGGAAGAGGAGTGAGGGAGAGGAGATAGAAAGGTGGTGTTGAGGATAGATTGGAGGTAAATAGTGAGGGAAAAAAAGGTTGAGTGAGATTAGAGTACGTGGAAGAATGTGAAAAGAATTTGCGAATATTATTTTAAGAAGAGAGTTTTATGGTACAATGCATAGTGCTGTACAAATTAAACCGTTTATCTTTACTTATAATATCTTCACCTAAGTAAAAAGTAAACACACAAAACAAAGCGAAAAAAGACAATAAATCTAGGAAAAAGAATCTACTGGCCAACATTTCGCTCAGCCTCACCAAAGGACTTCGAGCTGAGCATCTGCAGGTGCGCCGAGGCCGCCCCCGCCCCCTGGCCCAGGAGCGTCACCCTGCGGGGGTCGCCTCCGAAGTTGGCGATGTTCCTCTGCACCCACCGGAGGCCCAGCGTCTGATCCTTGAGGCCGAAGTTCCCAGGGATGACGTCATCCTCCGTGGAGAGGAATCCTGCGAGAGGGAGACGAAAATAGGAAGAGCAAGGAGAGAAGTGAATGGAGAAGTGAGAGGTGAGGAGCGGCACATACACAGACACAGACACACAGACTCGCACGCACACACACACATACACACACACATGTATATGTAATGATAGAGAAAGATAGATAGGAAGTAGGAAGATAAGCAGAGGCACAATACTCAAGTTTACATCGTATCAGCCATTTATATCACAAGCTTCCTCTTCTACTATCTCTACCAACACCAAACTACCATAATATTATAATAAAACCGACATAAACTATAAACCCATGCAACCTTAAAACCATAAATCCATCCCACCATCCTCCCATAAAACCATCCGTTTATCCTACCATAAAAGAATCCCTCCATCCCACCATCACCATCCCTCCATCCTACCATAATCCCATCCCCATATACCCCCCTCCATCCTGCCATAATCCCATCCCACCATCAAACTATCCCACCATAAAACCATCCCTCCATCCTACCATAAACCCATCCCACCATAATATAAACCCACCCCACCATACCAAGGGCAGTACCACCCCGACCACTCACCAAGGACGCCGAGCCTGTACTGCAGAACCACCAGGACGATTTCCTCGTTGAGCAGGGCGTGGGGAGGGGCGCTCTCCCCCGACCCCCCATGGTAGCCCCCCCCATGCAGGTACACCAAGACAGGTAATCCAACACTCACACGATGGGGCTGCGGGGATGGGGAGGGGGTGAGGGCGTGGGGAGAGAGGGAGGGAGGGATGGGGAGGGGGTGTGGGTGTGGGGAGAGGGTAGTGAAGGCGTGGGGAGAGAGGGAGGAGAGGTAGAGAGGGATGGGGAGGGTGTGGGGGAAGAAGGAAGGTGGAATGGGGAGGGGATGAAGTCGTGGGGGAGAGAGGAGGAGAGGTAGGGAGGGATGGGGAAGGTGTGGGAGAGAGAGGGGGTGGAATAAGGAGGGGGTGAGGGGGTGGGAGAGAGGGAGGGAGGGAGGTGTGGGATTAGAGTATGGGGGAGAAGTAGGGAGGGATGGAGAGAAGGGGTGAGGGTGTAGGCCAAAGAAGGAAGGTGGGATGGGGAGAAGGGTGAAGGCGTGGAGGAGAAACGGAAGGAGAGATAGTGGGGGCGTAGGGGAGGAGGTAGAGAGAGGATGGTAGAGATGAAGGGGAGAGAGGGGAGGGTGTGGGGGAGAGAGGGAGGAGAAGTAGGGAGGGATGGGGAGGATGTGGGGGAGAAAGGAAGGGTGGAGACGGGGTGGGGGAGAGAGCGGGGGAGGGATTGGGAGGGGATGAGGGTAAGGGGGCGAAGTAGGGAGAGACGGATAGATCGGGAAGAAAGAAAAAAATAATGATGAATTAAGAGTAGTAATCGGGGTAACGATCATGCTTATAGTTAAGACGATAATAAAACAAAGAAAGAAAGATAAAAAGACAGAAGAAAGCACTATACACAGATTTGATTCCGGATAATTGAGAGAGAGGCAACAGGTGTGAAATCCTTCTGAGCTTCATTTTCAGACGCGAAGACGAAGAGGATTTCGAAAATGGTGTCTTACTTTACAAAAAAAAAAAACTTTCTCTGTGTATAATAATGATAATAATAATGATAATAACAAAAACAATAGTTAGAGTAACAATGATAGTGATAAGAAGAAGAAATAAATGAAAATGATAATAACAATAATGATAATGATTATGACGGTGATGATGATAATGATAATGATAATGATAATAATAATTATAACAACAACAATAATAACAATAATGTTAATGAATAATAATAACAACAACAACATTGATAACATTTATGATATCAATAATGACAATAGTAAGGATAATAATATTGGTAATGATAATACTACTACTACTAATAATAATAATGATAAAAAAATGATAAAGATAACAATGATAACGATGATATTATTGATAATAGTAATAACGATGATGATAAAGACAAATTATGATAATGATAATAATGACAATAATAATAGTATGATAATAATGATAATGACCCTAATAATAAAAACAATAATAATAACAATAACAATACTACTACGACTTCTAAAATTACTAATACTACATATAATAATAATAGGACTTTACCTTACAATAATGAAACAAGAATAATCTGTAAGCATGAACAGTACATAAGCATAAATATACGAAAACAATTAACTCACACTGCAAAACCTTGACAACAAAACAAGAAAAAGAATCCGACATATACGTACATGAGGCGTGTGCACATTGAGATACAGACAGTCCTCAGACCCCTTGAGTGTGTACGAAGAGGATTGGTCCGTGAAGAAGGACGAGGGGGGGAGGGGGGCGAGCTGGAGGCAGGGGGGAGGGGGGCGGGA